TCTATTGTTTACATTTCGATTGTAGTAAGTATTGTTATGGATTTCAAAATATCTTTCTTCCTAAATATTTTTCCGATATATTAATAATATATATCGAGTTATAAATGCAGTAACTAATTCGAGTTTGTTATGAAGATTACATTGATATCTATGAACAGCGTTTAGTGATATATTACCAAATCATACCTTTTAGGTCGTATTGCATCATATCTATGTTCATTGGTTGGTTTTCAATAACAGATATCAAAACTATGGTCAATGTTACCGGCAGTACCGATTTGACGTTGACATAGATACTAAAACCATATCACTGTGTAATCAGTAAATGCTCCAACATATGTTTATAATTAACTAGCTGTTACCCTCGACTTAATTTGCGTGGCATTTAACTTTTAATTTATTAAAATAAATTATGTTTCTAAAATAAAAGTAGTTTAATTAACTCCTTGTAACATTACTTTACTGAGAGTGAAATTCCCGTTAAAGTCGGTCCAGCTATTTCAGACAAGAACAAATAGATAGATTAACAGATAGGCAAAAATTGTTACAAGTATTTTTTTGATGTTAATATTATATACATTTTCGCATGCATTTAATTCAAAGCTGTTAATTTAATTTTTTTTTGTAATGTAAAATGCAAAGTTTGTGCAGGTGGTAGGATGTTTGTCTAGTAAGACACACTTGTATTTATTTTATGTACATTAAAAACATTCTGCAACCTTTCTGTCTAAACATTTTATTCTTTAAATCTTTTATTTATATCTTGCAGGTATATATACTCCTTACTTTTTGTTCCAATATCTGAAAAACTTTATACACAGGCTTTTTATTTGAATATATATTCATATATACATAATATACACAGAAAACAGCCAGACCAATACAAACATTTGTACTAAAGCATACAACGAATCGAACCCGCGACCTTTGGAAGTAAGTCGGTGTGCTAAATCGCTAGACCACCAAGGCCTTCACATGTACTGAAGAATAGCATTAATAAGAGGGATAAATAAAAATTCAAGCTTTCGTCAAGAAAATCTATGTATTAAACCGTATTTATACATGGTATTCTATGTTTTATACATAGAATACGGTTATGTTTCAGAAAAATAAAGTTTCTTCAAGTAGATAACATCAAATATTTATTCAAATTAATTATAATCTTGTAATTGATGGTCTGATATATACTATCTAGATACAACAGGATAACAATTGTAGATAGTACCTAAGACTTTTTGTATTTTTCCATAGTTCAAAAATACATTTAAAAATAAGATCTACTATTATTAATTAAACAAATTTTAATTTTATATATAATATTAGTAAAGTATAGTTTTGTTCGTGCTTATTATGGAGATAAGTGCGTTGATTAAAGATGCGTCACACTGATTTCGAATAACTCAACAACTGCCTGTTATACGATGTATTCTTACATGTTCACCTACATGTTCTTACATGCTCACATATACGTATAATTGAGGTACCTATACCATGTGCGCTATAGCATGGTGGCGGATAAGAGTTTCAGTAACATTTCATTTCACTCTTGAAAGTTACCACAGTTGAAAATTTACAAATTATGACTTAGTATTTTAACTGTACCACATCCGTAATATATAAACTCATTAATAACTGTAGTAACTTAAATTTAACCCTGCCAGAATATTCCATGCCATAGCGCACATACGTAGTTGATTCATTTTAACCGTGTAAATATTTGTTAGTTAGGTTATGTTAATTCAATGTTATATAAATATTTAGACCGAAACGCCGCTATATGAGGTCTATATAAAGAAATACAATTGTAGTCTTTGTTTATAATTTGAACTTAATAGATTTTCACGAAATGTATCTACGGTACTTATTAAAAAAAAGTTGTTTAAGTATCTGTTTGTTTTTGCTGATCTCTGAACCTGCTGGATCTATTTTACCGGAACTTTCATTCGCTGATAGTTAATGTCGTAAGGAGTAACTTTTGCTGTTATAAAAAAAAGTGAATGCAAAACCAGATCACACATAGCGATGAATTTAGGAATTGATCTGGATTGTTTACAAAGGGACCACGTGGAAATCGACCTGACTGGCTTACATTGACGACTGGCAATGGGGTTAATACATGGTTCATTACTAATGCTCTCCTCCCCTTTATATTGTGTAGCGATATAGGATAGATGGGAAAGGAGGGTTATTAGGATCTTTCTAAATTATAATTTCATAATTTAGATGCGAGATTTTTAATTATATATATAAATACTTTAAGGCAAACTCACTGAATCAGATAGACGAAAAGTGTCTCTGTTACTAATGTTGTTTGCTTCAAAACCATATGATAAAAAAATTGATACGGATGTCACTATCATGTTGATATTTTTTTCTCTTCCGGTTATAGGTATATCGTCGCATTGTTACTTGTTCGAGGCTGAAGTAGGTCGGTAATAGTACATACATAATTTCTTTACTAGAAAATTGTGGGGCTTATGAGAATATTTAGTAAGGCAACCACTTATTGCCCATAGATACCGAAAGACATGTCATATTTGTACTAGTTCACACGCGAAAACGTTCAGGCGGTTCTTACACAACATAATGTTTTGTTGCCACAGTTCTAGTTCAATTGACAATAGGCAGTTGTGAAATGTCTCATAAGGAAACACTATACAAACTTATTTATGTTAAAATTAGATAGAATCAATACATTTCGATAGTCGATTGTTTCGTGAAAAGTAATAGACCTTTCATTAATGATCTACATTTTAATAATTTGCAGATATTTTGTAGATCGCTTCGTCATCCGTGCCATGCCCTGATTTGTTATTTTTCTGGCAATCAAGTAAAAAAGTAATTTAGTAAAAATATAACATTGTTTATATTTAGGCGTATACAAAATACATTAAACTTAGAGCTAAATTCTAATAGATACGTTGATGTCTTAAAATTATAATTGTATGTACATACATACTCGTACTTACTGGCAATCATTATAAGACAGATATATTCTCTTTTTTTATCAGACGTGTTCCGGTGATGATGTCGTTTGGTAGTTATACATCATATTATACATCTCTTTCTACTTGAATAATGAAATTAGGGTAGTGTATTTAATAATAAAATGTCTCGTAGGAAAAGTTAAAACAACTCGTACTTATATATAATTGGGTCTATAGACTCAATTATGTCTTAAATCAAGGGACTCACATTCAGTATAAAAATAGATTATGAATTAATTGGTTATATTTGTTGCCATTATAATTATCGATTTTCCGCAATGTATTATTTTTCAACTAATTTCAATTCTTATGACTTAGGATAACAATATAAAATATCATTTCTTCTTATGACTTAGGATAATATACTGTAGCCTAAGTTCTAACTTGGTAACCGTAATTTTTGGACTCCTTTGCTTGTGGGTGAACACCCAAACAAGAACTTGTTTTTAGGTGATCACTGTTTTTAGATCATTTTGATATCAAAATCGTTTATTAACGAATCCATGTTTTGGTATAGGTATTAAAATCGATCATTTATAAAATATTAGTAGGTTTGATTTTTCAAAGTTCGTACATTTCTAGGGAGTAAAAATCTTGTACATACGTGTATGAGGCTGAAAGCGTCCTCGTAATGAAGATCAAAAATCGTGTACTTATTCGAGGAGTATCGTACGGTTGGCAACCCTGAATGACATCCGACTGATGATTGATGCGGCATGCCCCAGTGTAGTGCTTCGTCACAATGGCGATTTTATCAAAGTTGCGCGCGAGTGGCTATACAGATGCATGAATGGATTGACCTACTACTCTGTTTTTTATGTATAGAACTAAATAATATTATGTTGTATTGTATAACAGTTATAGAATGATTGAAAAGTCAAGTGTAACTAGAACCAGTGGATATTGTGACTATACGGAAAATAAAATACAATACTGGATAGAATATAAATATTACAACTCTTTTTTATGGGTGATTATCGATCACTATATTCTGACAACACAGATGAGCATCACATCTGTGTTATCAGTATATAGTGTCGGAGCTTCAGCGAAGGATGATACGATGAGCAATAAGCGAGGCTAATAAAGATCGACCTGACATTCCCTTTAAATAAATTTTTCCCAAATATTACAACACTCGGAAACAGGGACGAGTCATCGCTTGTCTTAATTTTTTACATCAAGTAGTATACCTGTCCTTTATCCATTGAACTACTTATTAACTACATTATGCTAATAATAATCATAATCACTGTATGTGATTATTATTTATAGACTAATAATAAACCAGGACAATTCACATAGCTTAATCTAGTTCCAAGCTAAGCAGAGGCCAGACCAATACTAATAATCATACTCATTAAAACAAATGTATATCGTGCCAGGAATCCAACTCGCTTCCATCGGAATTAAGGTGGTGTGCGAAATCTCAAGACCCGCGAGGCAGTCAAGCATCAAATACAGTAAGCACTAAAAGTTATCAAGTTTATTGTTTTAACCTACTTTACAGTTACAGTAGCGTTTAATCGTTATTTATGTTTTGTTTTTACCATTACTTCTACTTGTATATATAAAATTTATGCAGGTACTTCGGTTCAATAATATTTATGGTAGCCCGCATAGTTTGTTCATTTTCAATTGTTTCAAATATTTATAAGTTTTTTCTCTATTTCATTCTTATTCAGTATCTGAGAAAAAACGCAAATATTGCCCTTTTCTCAGATACTGAATAATTCCTCCAAAGACTTATAAGCGGACTTTGGAGGAATTGAATCTACACTCTTTGGACTTCAAACAATACTGTACTAAGGGGTAAAATAAAATGTGACTAATATCAGGTTGTCGCGGTCCTCCTGGAAATAATCAATTTGTATATGGTATAGTTGTATGGTATGTTGTGTGGTAAGTTACGATATCCAGATCTTACTAAGTTGCCTGAAAATTCCATCCCTAAAGATTCTCGCTTGCCGAAGTTGCGGTCAAAAGTTATCGATAAAATGATCCAACACTCACCGCTCAGTGTGTCCCGTCACGTAGAAAGTGAAAACATGCGCTGGCGCATACTCCGCCTTACTTTCCACACTCTCACTTGTCGGCAGCTCTTGCACTAAACACACAGGGGTACAACACTAGAATTGGCAATTTCAAATTTGGATAATTCGAATGCAATTCTCGATTCACTATATCGATTGTCCACTGTCTCGATTGTTGGTTGTCGGCAACACGCGCTGGAGTGTCAGGTGCGACTGTTACGCTGGAGAGAGCGACGTGCGCGCAGGTTGCTGGTTGTGTAAGCAAGCATTCGTTCGAAAGGAAGATGATGGGTGAAGGGGAGGGGGTTTGGAAAATGCATCTTATACACTAATTGTTAGGGTTTGTTCTTGTCGGATGTGTTCTCGAAGGGCATAGACAGCTATAGGCGATTAGCTAATACGTCTTCTTTGTAATGGTATTGTATAGGTAGATGCCTTATTTGTGAGATTTCGTAATACTTTTGCCCCCATAAGATCTTGATGAATCACTTAATTTGAAATGTGAATACCGGACTTTAGAAAATGTAGGTACCTATTTAAAAAAGAAGGTTATCAATTCATCTTGGTAACAACATACTGTTACTTCATCATTCGATCATCAAGATCAAGATGAGCAGATATGTAAAGGTGTATCTAGAACATAAACGTGTACTAGTATATTATGCTATTAAGGCCAAGGATTTGTGGCTAAGTCTCCATATTTTTTTAATACGTGTAGGTAATGTTTTATATTTCTTTGATTTGCCTAATGAGAATTGAATCTAGGTAAATACCCTTAATGTTTCTAAAATATAACTGTGGGCTTAAACGCCCACATAATGAGTTTGCAGTGAAAAAATACGTGTTTGAAGTGAAGCGGACTTGCATAGGTGGAAAAATCAATTTATTCATTAATTATATATTTGAGTATTCAAAGAAATGCTGACAAATATACTGCGCTAAAACATTGTTATCACAGTTTGTAATGAAAAATATTATGTCCTATATCGGGTGACGTGAGCCTGGGGTAGTGTTATAATATTGTCATTTGCGAAAATTGTATCAACAGTAATTGCAAGAGAAACACACTACAGAATGGTGCTGGCCAGTACTATCTCCAGTTGGCACGCGGTCATCCGGACCACTGACATCAATGCTTATGCCTCTATCGTTTCTAAGACGATTTCGTAAGGAGTCTGTAATTCTATATGTAGGCAAAGGTATATCGACGTGCAGATCCTCGGTGTCCGATATTTCTGTGATTAAAAATAGTATAATAGACCAAAGAACTTCTGTAAACATCAAGATATAACGTAATTAAATTAACAATTAAATTATACAATATTAAAAAATATAATTAATAATAATAGTCTAATTATCTTTTATAGTATTAGTGTTCTTAATAAAACGTCAGTAAGAATAATATTTAGCACAGTTCAATCGGGCACCACAAATAAATACCATATTTGTGGAGCGCGATAATTAACAGATATTCGGTTCTCTGTCAAATTCTATGTCACATTTTGACTACTAACAAGCTGCTAATAAGTCAGAAGAGATTTTGTCATTGCTACTGTATATGCGACAAAAGAAATGTCAATTCGAAATTCAAAGGTTGACAATGTTTTTCCTCACTAGCCAACTCGCTAACACCTCAACTAGCCAAGCTACCAGTAAGTATAGCTTGGCTAGTTGAGGTACGTAATGATTTTCTCAAAATTCTCTTTTGAAATTTAATTTTGGTTTTCTTTTTCCCGTCACAAGGAAAGACAAAAGGATTCAGCTCCAGTATTGTCTTCGGTTTAAAATTTCATTCTTACTCTTTAAATGTCTTCCAAGCTAACAAAGCAATCTATAGTTGTGTCATATTATACTACTAATACTATAATTTATTATAATTGTAAAGTAAAGAGTAATATGTTATGACGCTAGGGACGAATATCTAGATCAGGAAATCCTTCTGCGGTGAATATTGTGTAATAGTTTGCATAATGATAATTGCAGTGAAAGTTAAATAAATGTTAAGTTAATAATTGTAGCTTATTAAACAAACTACCTACAGGAACTAGGAAACATTTATTTTTAATTTTAATCAATTTTCTTAAAGATCGATTTTTATATTCGATATAATTTATTAAGTATTATTATAATAACAGTGAGTATTGTGGCGTAGAAATTTTATCCCATCTATATAAAACCAAGACCGTGAGTTCGAATGTAGCTGAAACAAATATTTGAGCGACAATTTTTATCCAACTCTTTAGTCATAGATATACAATAACAAATATATTGATCCAAGATACTATGGCAGGTAAGAGTAACTCTGCTATATTATGTTCAAATATTTCCAATGTAATTTTCAAATCTGCAATTTAAATATAGCTTTGAGAGACTGAGAAAACTCGTAGTGTAGGATACTAGGTAGGTATTACTATCGCACACGACTTTTTACTAAGCCTACAACATATTTTGACTTTCAACATACAACATATAACAACATATTTTACATTAATTTCAGTATATAGGTACAGAGGTAGACTTTCGGTTTTAAATTTCATTCTTATATACATATGTATGTAGTATATATAAGAATGAAATTTTAGACCGAAAGCCGTTATTGTTATCTTCGGAAATGTACTTATGACTGAAAATATAATAATAATATAGAATAGAATAGAATAGAATAGAATAGAATAGAACAGAACAGAATAGAATAGAATAATATATATTATATCACAACACAACAATGATGATGCTCTCAGCAGCGTATAGATTATTATTATATCATATAAATATATAGATATAACACAATGCATAAAATCATAACATAAAAAAGGGCAAGAAGATCATATAAATAGAAATATTTTTTTTATTTCATTCTGTGTTTGATTATTTTTTTTTATGTACTCGTAAGTTATGCATAAGATGACAAATGCTATTAGGATAATCGATTACAATATCTTTATGATTGATTGATTAATACAAAGAAAAGTCTAAAGATATACCAAGAAGTAGGTCATCATTATCAAAATCAGTAATCGTAATATTCATGCGTTAAAATGTATGATAATATAAACCGTAGTATGAACGTGAAAATCGTGCGGATGGAGGAGTATGAAACTTCGCACAGTTTTAGAGTTAGTGGTAGAGTATTTAGTTATTGAAATACACATAGAAGTATAGTCTTTGACAATAGACATAGAAATAATCTTTATTCAAATAAACTTAATATAAGCACTTTTGAATAGTCAAGTTTTTTTATTCTATCGCTTATTCGGAATGCAGATTAGAACATTTATAGTATTCAAACTTATAATTAAAATTTAGTACGTCGAATTTCGAGCATTGGGCAACCACTAGTAGTAATTATAATAATCTACGACAGTTTACACAGCGCCATCTAAACCCAAGCTAAGTAGAGTTTGTGTTATGAGTAGTACACAACATATTATATACATAGAAAAACACCCAGACCAATACAAACAATCATACTCATGAATACAAATGTTTGTATTGTCGAGGAATCGAAACCACGACAATATGGGTCACGTGTGTACCACTGATGTTTGATATTGATATTTACATCACCGGAAAGTCAAATAGGTACAAAAAACTTTCATTATATGTAGTTCTTAAAAGAAATAGAGTCTAATCAATTGCATAAAACATTCTTGCCGGCAGGTGTCAAACTGTGTCAAGAGATGATGTAACCGGTGTCATCACATTCCGTCTACTGTCAAATGACCAGTATACTAGATACGGATGAACTTTCACTAATATTTGATCTTCAACAGACTGCACAAAAAAGATAGACAGAAATTACGAATACGCTTTATTTGCATTCCACAATGTTAGATGAACGTTTGAATGATTAATTGAACATACGTGTATAAATACAAAAAATGGCTTAATTTTTAAAAGATTTTTGTAAGGGAACGTTATTATAATGGGTTTATTGTAGAAAAAGGAAATAATTCAACTCAATTTTTTAATCATAGTAAACGGGAGCTTTATAATTTACTAGCTAAGTGCCCGCGACCTCGTTCGCGTGGAATATATGACGAATGATGAATTTCCATACCAACTTTCAGCCCTTATTTTATTCTACCCCCTTAAAGTAAAATTTTTACAAACTGTCATATTTATTTCGCATGTTTTGGCGTGAAAGCGCGACAGACAGTTAAATTCGCATTTGTAATATTAAATTCATAATTTATATAGTGTTGAATGTCGAATAAAAAGCTATGAAAATGATGTTTTTTTCTCTCTAGCGCTCAAATTTATGATATGTGGAGCGTAACACATTCATTAAAAGTTGTAAAATAATTTTATTGTTCATGCGTCGAGAATAAGAATTTCCTCAATTAGCGTGAATGTATGTGACGAATTATGAAACTTCCGAAATATCAAATTTTATGTAATACGAAAGATTTGGATAGAAGGAGGATGTCAATAATACTAAATATCTGAAGGCACGGATATAAGATAAGTCGTTTACTCATTTTAGGATAAAATATAGCGAATTTTCGTCTTGGCGATACAATCTATTTTCATAGGCAAAAGAAAATTTCGTCCGTACATAGTCCTCACCCACCGGAATTGTTTTCAAGAGAACTATGTCGGTCACAGTTGAGATTTATATTGGAGTAAATATCTATATGTTTGTCCTGTCCTATCCTAATGAAAATCAACGTTGATTGTATAATGAGGCTATGTACATAGGTTGTATTTTATCTCAGAAAATAATTTGAAAGGGCGTGAAATAGGAGAAAAAAAAAGTTTGCGCGAAACATCTCTCTTCACTATAATTGTTTTCATATATTAATAAAGTTTGTAAGAAAGTAGATATTATGTGTCTTGCACTGTACATTAAGTACTAAGAGAAATTTCACTCGCAAGGGCTTGTAGTTTTATACTGCAGTATAAAAAATTGAACAAAATCTAAAATCAAAATCGGTGTGATTTATAATATATCATCGCAGCCTGGAAGACGTCCACTGCTGGTATAAAAAACGAAGTGAACAAAATCTAAAATAGCCAAAATCGGTGTGATTTATAATATATATAAAACTAAACGTCTCTGTTAATTTGGCAACACACATTGGTCATAAACCTTCATCTTGGGACACTGCGGAAATTTGGACGAAAAGATATAATAACGAGTTGGATTCGACGATTGTTTATTGATACATGGATTAGTATATATATATATATCTCCGATTTTTTTATTTATAATATATATAAAACTAAATTTAATTTACCGTCAATAACTGACTGTTTATTGATACATATTATATATATATATATATATATTAGTTTTGTGATTTCTTGTGTGTTGTGGACATGAAATGAATAAAGTTTGTAAGAAAGTAGATATCTTAGGTTTTATCTGTGCGAGTGATTAATCAACAAACATGAGTATGGTCAATAATGATTAGGTACATACACAGCAGGCTATAAATTATGTAACATTAAAATAAATGAGATTTTCTATCAATAATTTGTGTGTTGCAAATGGAACACTATGGATTTATACGGTTCGTAAAACTAACTATAAGATTGTAAGTATATAATTAGAAAATGATAGATTTTAATGTACCTATATTAAGTCAGCTAGACTGACCAACGTTGTCATGTCATAGTCAATGCGTGAATTACACGACGTCATTAAGTATTTTGTTCGTTTTCGATACTAAAACATATGATTCCATATCAGATATCGAGTAAGAGTCGCAAGATTTATTCGATATCAAAAGTACTGAAGGTTTCCGTACAAAAGTACTTCGTAATTTTAGAAAATCAGAATTACGCAATATAAAATCTTAAAATTATGATAATTTGTACGTTGATATTAGAAAAATTGGAGAGTTATAAAAGTGACTTGTTATATTTTCAACACGTACGTAATATGATTTGATGTAATTTGATATCTAAGATTTTAATATCGACCTAATCAGTAATAAGCACACTACTGCTTCTAAAGACAAAAGTGGCCCGTACATTCATTTTAGACTTCGAGTCAACAAAACATCAAAAACTTGTTTTTACGAAAGTAGTTTATTTAGATGTATTTGATATTCATTATATTCTGTGATGGTCAGGAATATTTTAAGATATTTTCGTTTCGGTTTACATAATACCTGTTATTATCTATATTAAAACTGTTTTATTATGTTTCTTCATAATTAATTTCACAAATCTTTCACGTGCGAACATATTATGTATAATTATATGTTAATTCGATTAGACGAAAGTAGATTTCTACGTGTCGGTATCGAATCATCATTCTATGTAACAGATAACAAATTCGTGTATAAAGTAAACTGAAGAAACATGTAACTAAGTTACGAAATAATATTTATTTGTACGTAGATAGATTTTAATTTTATAGATATATTTAAAAAATGGTCGATATTTAATTACATATTTTATATATTTTAATACAGCCAAGTATTATCATATGCCTTTATATAAAATTTGTTCAATTGTAGAAATATTCTTCATATATACAGTTTTATTTACAACGCAAGCGTTCCGGTATTCCCACTAATATAATTAAAATATTTTACAGTTTTATATATTTAACTTAGACATTTTATTATTTTCAAAAGGTTTTTATTATATAAAAGTAAGCTTTTTTATTACCTAATTAATTTGAAGACTCTTTTAGTCTTATCTAATAACTAGGATGTAAAGTCAAGGATTCATTTACTATCATGACCTGCATCTATTCCATCTATATTACGACGTCTCTTTTTTATACGGTCTCTTGCTTGTCGTATTAGAAGTACTTCGGGAACTATAAAATTTGTGCCAACTAGGTATTACAACATGAAGTGACAAACATACTTTCCAATTTTTTGTTGCTTACCACATACCTAACCGGATATCCGAATTTTTACGCGTAATAATTACATCTACTCGATTATAACCTTTATTTCAATGTAAAGAATACCTGAAAAGAAATATTAGATACCAAAATACATTTTCACCTAAAATGTCGGGTTTATGATTTCAAATATATGAAAGTTGCTGTGCAATAACATATTCTAAACTTTCGTACATAGAAGCGGAATTTCTTTCTTGTTTCTTTATTCGATAGTGAAAGCATGATAATAATATGATCAACTCTTTGTTTTTGTACGGTAATATTTAATTTAATTTTATGCTGTTTCATAAACACACATGTTAAAATTATTTATTATCATTTCATTATAGAATAGACCAATAGATGAGAATTCTAAATATACGAAACTAATTGCCAACGTATGATTTTGTCCCATTCGGTGTCGAGACCCTTGGTCCGTGGGGCTCTAGTGCTATAAGACTTGTTAAGGAAATAATAAAGAGGTTAGTCACAGAAGACCGAAGAGCTGGCAGCTAACTCGGACAAAGAAGTAGTCTAGCCGTTCAAAGGGGAAACGCTGCCAGTGTCTTTGGAACCTTCCCTAAAGGGACTGCTTTTAATAATATATTTTAGTTATTATATTATATTTTTTAAGGTTTATAATTTTAAGTTCTTAGTTTTGCGAACACAATTTGCTCACTTTGAAGTAGTCAACTGTTTCATGGTATAATTTAACGTGCTTGTACTTATAATTCGTCCAAAACCCTGTAGTTCAAAGTAAATAAAAATAATACTAATATACACTGTCTGAAGTAGTGCCTACATAAACTTAGAATTTTTGTGATTGGAAACAAGTATCTATATCAAAAAAAGGATATGAAAGTATTTATCTAATCAATAATAAGTGTTGGTACTATCACATGGTTACACAGTAGAAACAGTCATTGTAAGTGTGAAATAAATCCAATTTTTAGTATAGAATGTTCTGGTCCCTCAATATTATCTGATTTTTGTAGTGTTGATTTGATAAGACGAAAATAGATTTCAATCGTGTTATTCTGATAACGCAAACGAAACCACATGAGAAACACCGACTTTAAAAAAAAATTACTAGTTTAAAAATTACTGGTAACCCTGAATATAACTCCCAGTCAGCATTTTTACGGTAGTATAACTAAGTTACACCACAGCACTGATTTTTAGTAGAATCACCAGACACGAGACAGCGCATGTACAGATAGCAGAAGAAATAAAATTTACGTTTAAGACCATTTTATAGATAGGTAAGATGTATGTATGTATTTTATAGTATCACTTTGGGTGCCATAAAGACGGTGTATTCTATAATTTTACGGCCATATCTCACTATTTTAAAGCACAGCTTGAGAGCCAGCCATGCCGACGGCATAGTCAAAGTTTACTTCGTCTCTATCTGGTCATTATAGAAAAAAATCCCCAACTTGGTAACCTTACTAATATTTTAAATATGTGCTTCTTGAAAAATCATGTTTAATGGACTATAGTAAGTTTCATTAAAAGTAATAATATTAAACTCTAACATGTCCTATATATGTACATTATAAGTATATACATATATAAAAATATATGTATATACTTATAATGTACTCAATTAACAAAATTTGTGTTGTCATTTTCAGTCTCTACACAAGAAGAACTAAAATTACTTGATGGTTTGGATATACTTTCTGTCTCCATTGCGAGATACTATATAAGACGCTGGCAGGAGAACAGATCTTAAAAAAGGTACCGATTGCCATTGAATAAAACTGCGATAAGCACGAATTTACCTTCAACACATAATAAATGTAAGATATGGAGTTACTATATTAATATGGCTTATCAATTTATATTTTTCTTTATTAAAGTAATCCTTAATTGTTATAGGATTAGATTATACATACTTACACATGTATAACAAGGAAATCAAGACAAGTTAATTATTATTATCTATAAAGGAATCACATCAGTCTGGGCCTGGATTGGATCTGATAACTTTATTGGAAAGATATTACTGTTTCTGACGGTTCAGTTCAGTTGCAGATTATCAACAATGGTAAATAATATATATGGAGAATTATTTTATTAGGAAAACAACAACAAATGGGAGACATTAGTAAATGTGTAATTAAAAAAGTATGTGTATTCTATTCTAAATATCAGTCAGGTCGACCTGCTGGGATTTATCGTGGTCAATTACTGATGGACTTACCATGAGGATATAAACGATTTCTTCCTCTTTCTTTCAATCTCCACTGCTGTCCGGCGACCACTATAATCCACGCAAACGAGAATATACCTACTATTTATTCCATCATCAATTATTTAAGGGTTTCAGTTATAGGTGTATTTATATATCTATACAATAAATGGTCGCCCAATGGTCGAAATACGACTATAATTAATTTAAATTCTAATTTTGAATATTATTACAGTTCTATTGTTAAAGAAGACTTCAATGAGTGTGTGTGTTAAATACATGGTAATGTGTGTAATATTTTTTTATTGATTTGTTGTATTTTTTGTCCGAATTAAAAAATATATATTTCATCATTCACTCCTTTTCTATATAAACTAGCAGTGTGCGAAATTGCACACTCCAACGCACGCGCAATTTTTGTAAAACCCTTTGCTTCACGTATTAATATAATGATATACTTATATTAATGTTATATGCCCTTGTGTTTTTCTGTTCTCCTAGTAATAAAACTAATTAGTATCGATCACTTACAATTTCTTTCACACGGGCCAAATAATCGGAATTTTTTGAGAATCTAAAATATTACAATGTTGTATTGAGTTTGGTTGCCATAGTAAATCTCTTACGAACTTCCAGGGATGATAAGGAACGGAAACACATATACGACACAATAAATTATGAGTAGGAGAAACTATAGTTAAAATATAATTGTAAACGACAAAGATCAACAACAAAATGGATTTCTATGTATAAATTTTTGCTCTATGATGTTCATGTCTTGGGCGATCGTATGAAAGCAACCATTGTAAGATTTTCGACATTGCATCTTGATCTTCACATTGTAATTTGTAGCATTGTTTACCTTTACGTTGAAGGTGGGACCTGTAAATCAATAAGCACGTAAAGGGTACATAGCAGTATAACAGACACATAATACTAGTATTTTTGCACTTGTTCACGAGTAGGATGGAAGAGTCAGCCATCACTGCTCTCGATCATATTTTAGGAAGCCCAAAGAACTTGAAAATACGCTGTTCATGTATAAAGGTCACGGTTGCCATTTCTAACCACTATCAGGTGGGCTATCAGTCGTTCCAGTTACATAAAACAAGTGGTAGAGACACTTCACTTAATAAAAGCGTGTTAAAAAGAATTGTACGTCTTCTGCACATACGCGATATAGAATATCGATGGGGATTCATCTATTTTCATTGTACACGCAGAATATACTATTTAAAAGGTTAAAAAAAATTGTTTTTAATGTCTTACTGAGCATAGTTCTTTTCAGAGTGTAGTTCGCAAAGAAGTCTTCGTCGACAGGATTCACTGATGGGCGCTATGTCTCTAGTCGTATCGGATCGACGATAAATATTTGCCGGGAACCTGAAATATCAATCAACTTTTCAAAAATCCTATAACTATCTTAATAAATCTTAATAATAAACGCGAAATTATTTTTATAGTATAGAGGACAAACGAGCTTGTGGCTCACCTTATGATAAGTAATTGCCTCCTATGAGGACTCGCACCACCAGGGGAACTGCAAGTGTGTTGCCGGCCTAAGCAGCAGGATTAAGCTCTTTTCTTTAAGATTTAATATCGTATCGTTTCGGCGTGGCAAAAAAATTCTAGAAAACCGCACTGTGGAGGACTGCCAATCATTCAGATGATCGGGATGGTATCTTAGTTACTGGCGGGTAGTATGGTGGTGAAATTCAGTAGCTCGTATTAATCCGAAAAATTCAATAGAACACTCACTATTATATATGCGGTAGGAAATGCAAAGATATACAAGTTTGGGAGTATGAATGGATAGATGAATTTATGGATGTTTGGTACTCTTTCAAAAACTACCGAACGGATTTTTATAGTTTATACATCAGAATAACACTTAGGCTATGAATTAAATGCGGGTGAAACCGCGGGCCTGTTGCACAAAAAATACAAAAATTAATGAAATTACATAGATAGATACGAGACATAGATAAACCATATTATGATAGATCAACACATCATTTTTAGAAAAATTCATTCAAGAGACGAAGATGAGACGAGAAAAGGTAATATATATTTTTTCGATTTCGAATATTTAATATTGGTTTTCTTTTATCTATACTCGGTTTGGTATGCAGTCTATGTTCTACAGTCGCATATGAAATACGAGTAAGTACCTATAATACATATTATTATAATAAATATTGCACAATAATATTATTAACAAGGAAAGATTTTTACCAAGTACTGTCATTTTAGATATAGAACGAGATTAATAATAATAATATAGGTATAACAGGTATTTTATAACTCTTAGTATAACTTTTTTTATTATATTAGTTTTTTTATATTATATACTAATATCGTTCTGAAGGCATACTCCAATCAATTTCACACAAAGCTCTTTTACACACCTTCCAATACACACACACACCCATACATACACTCATAAGTACACCATAATATCTGAAACACCGGTAAATACCTGTGTTTCAGTTTCTACCTATCTGAAAAGTCGGAGACTTCATTAATGAACCGTACAAATTATGTGAAATAAAAATTATTTATTATTATTATTATTGCTGTTATTTTTTTAAAACGAGTAATATTGTCGCTGACACTTGACGAATTGTAATACAAGCATAGTATTCTACTTTCTTCGTTATGTAACAGCCGTTCTTCCGGTAGCATGCGAGGCCACAGCGTAGTGACCGCTGCACCGTCACGCCTGCTTGGAAAGTAAAATATGTCATGTAATACTATAATTACTTAATTACCATTAAATTAACCGCTTTATTTAGAGATTTCAAGATATATATAAGTTAGTATCTCATTATGCACAGCTGAGGTGAATATTTTTTAAAGTAAAGCTATTAAGACGAAATATATTGGTACATAATAGTCAGTGAGTATGTTAAATTTAAAGTTATACAGTAGTTTGTTGATATTTTGATTATTATGAATATGTGGTATTTCAACTTCTAAATCAAAAAATATTGCAAATTATATATGCTATTGTGTTCATATAAAATTTTAAAATATAAATATAGTAGGCAATTTTTTAAAAATTCTTGTCCGTATTTGCATTTCCAAATGATGTGTAGAATCCAAAAAGGACTATTCAAAGGTGCTTAAATTTAAGTTAATTTAAAAAAAAAAATTCTATTATATTTTTGTATTTTTTAAAGTATTATTAGTTATATTTTTTTGTAATATTGCGAATTTGGTTTAGAATATGTGAATTTGTAACAAATTCGATAACTATTTTAATAAAGGCTTTAATTAATAGCAATGTTCAATAACAAGGTATAATCTATTTAAGATCCAACTCGGAATTTTTATGAAATGTGGATAACTTTATTTAGATCATCATATCGGGATTAAACGCGTATTATACCTACAAGTTGATATTACAATTACAATTTTCAATTATCTCTATCTTCTCCGGCTTTGCACGGATATTTAATAAAAAAATAAATCAATATTTACGCACACGCACACACATATATACCGTCGACATTAATATCTTTATATTATAAAATGAAGTCGCTTCCGGAGTCTTTTCGCTTAGATCTTTTAGAATACACAACAGATTTTAACGCAACGTTCGCAATATAAGAATATTATGATTTGTTTTAGTATTTTTTTCACATATTGGGTTACATTATATCGAAGTTTTCTTATGGATCTCGTAACAGTTTTGAAAATATTTTATTGCTTTTGTTCATCAGGGATAATGTAGGATTCTACATAATAGTAAAAGAAGTTTTCCAATAGTTCCAGTAGTTTCGGAGCCTATTCAACGCAAACAAACCAACAATGAAATCATTCCTCTTTATATTATCAGATAAACACATTTAAGCTGCTACAACAGTTATAGTAGCATATAGTGATAAGCCTTATCATATTCTAAAATTCAGCATTTATGAGTATCACTATTTGTATACTGGATAAATATGAGTTATTTTACGTGCATGACATAAGATTAATAGAAATACAAATAGAAAATGTAAAGAAGAAGGTTTATATTTATATTCGATTGTAAGAGAGAATATGGAGTGTAATAAACGTGATTAATAATAATAATAATCTTAATCTCAGGACAATTCACACAGCGCCATCTAGACGCAAGTTACGCTTGCTAAAGCTTGTGTTATGAGTACTAGATAACCGATACAAATATATAGATATTTTTTTTCTAAATACATACATATTATATATAGAAAACACCCAGACCGACTTATGAATACAAATGTTTGTGCCGTGTGAGGAATCGAACCTGCGACCATCGGAAGTAAGGCAGTGTATTAAACCACTAGACCACCGAGGCCGTCAAAATCCACGACTATTTATTTATCTACGTTTGTTAAAAGGAAGGACTATAAAAAAATTCGATTACCGAATAATTATACTAATTACACTATACTAACATATATTTAACTACGAAGTAAAAATAGGCAATAATCACTCTTGATATTGTATTATTATTATAATGGTATTATGATAATATTAAAATTATCATAATATTTAAAATACTAGATGAAAACCCGGCTTCGCTCGGGTGAAATGTGGGCAGATATTTTTGTAGTCATCGGTTCTCAAGAAATATGAAAGGTAAGCAAGGCATAGATTTGTATAGTTTCGTTCATTGTGTTTAATAAATATAGTAAATAAAAAGTGCAAAAACAGATAATTTTTATTTTAAATCAACATTCAAAATAAATTAATAAAACATATAACTTTTAAGGTTTATTCTCTGTAAACCTCTTTGTTTTAAGCACTCTCTACTTTGGCAGATATTTAAAACCAATTGCTTCGATTCCGAAGAATCCGAACATCTTTTCCATTCTTGATCGTCAACTGGAAGTAAATAAGTTCTTATTTTATTCACTTTAAAAGGAAAACATAGAACAAAATTCACTTAAAAACACATACATACATACAGACCTACTAAAGTACTACTCACCATCTTTACGAAGAGCTCTTCGCTACACCCACTTTCCACAATTGTGACAATGTTTACCAAATGCAAGGAGATTCGCATGTTAACAAAATGATACAGGTATTATCAAACAAAAGACCAAACAAAGACACGACCAATGAAATATTTTATGAATTACTTACGATTTTCGGCATAATGTGACACCAAGTAGCTTAGGAATTTGTTTGTAAGTGCCATACTTGATGATTTTTTTTAAATCCCGGAGACTAAATTGACAGGTTTAAATGTCAAATTTTCAAGTATGTTACCACCTGTAGCGGGGTAGTAGTGTACCTGCGCTACCGATTTGTTTAATCGGAAACTTTTATTTTAATAAATTAGTTTTAAAGCTTAATATGACGTTTCCATAACAGAATTTAATAATTTATTTTTGTCGCAGCATAAAAATATATTTTTATCGTTTCCCGTACAAATAGTAATTTGACAGTATTAATCTATAAACCAACATTTTTTTTTCTTACAATTAACTAAATAATGTAAATAGGTATTCGTTTCATAATATATGACACAATGAAAAGGTAATTTGTTTTATTAAAAAGGTAGTTAGTCTTTATTTTAGTGAAATATAAGAAATTTCTATTTTGATACATCTTACATACATATATTTATTAAAACGTATACTTTATTAATTTTGTGTTAATGCTTTTTACATAAACACCCACACATTATTTCTGTATAACCTACAAAATGGGTAAATAATTTAAAAAATGCAAATACCTGGCAACTTGTGTGTAATAGGTGATGGATACCTTATTGGCGCAAACGCACGGGATGTGTTGATTGGTTGTTAGCTAGTGAAATGAAAAGATGGCGACTGCGGTTTGTTTGTTAGTGTCATTAGAATTTAACGAAATACTCCATAATCCGAATTATGTTGTCGACTCGAAATCAATATTTTTTTATGTTTTGTTATTCACATAAGGTTCGAGTCTACCGTACCCCTTGACGAAATTATTAATATAGATTAGGCACAAGTAGGTGCATTATATACGAGACTATCACGTAGACGGCTTTTTCAAAGATTTTCTACCACTGTTAAAAATAAAAACTAAAAGAAACTGGATTACCTAATAAATATACTAATTACACTATACTAACATGTACCTACTCGTATTTTTAACTGCGAAGTAAAAATAAGTAATAAAATATCACTGTTAATATTGTATTATTATTACAATAGTATTATGATAATAATCCAATTATCATAATATTTAAAATATTAGGCACAAGTATGTATATCTACAGCAGTTCATTTTATTGCTACAAGCCTACCTACCCACTATCTTGATTTTTATATGATGGCCGTTTTTAGTCGTTAAAAAATTATGACATACATATTACTGCTACTCAATAAATTAATGTATAATCGGGGCCAATATCTATACATATATCATATAATAATATAAAATAGTATTATTCATAACGTTTTATTTTTCTTTGTTATCTGTCTGGTGTCTGGTGGCCCCACTGAAAATCAGCACTGTGGTATAACTTATACTAAAGTATAAATCCTGAATGGTACTCAGTATATAGTCTGGGTTACCAGTATGTTTTAAGTTATACGTATATATTGGATACTATGTATGTGGATTTCAATTTATAAAGATTTTATAAGAATTTTAATGTTATATACAAAATTGTACTTTCAGAATTCCATTTACAAATTATAGATAATTACGAAGTTATTCATGCATCAAATTAAAAGAATATACACACACTCATATACACACCTACTCATATCTTTTCCAAGTACATAATACACAATACACAAAATTTACTCCTTCTTTCAACATAAATTTCATTATTCGTGTATTTAATTTACAACGGTAATACTCCAATTTCTACTATACAGGCTTGCGAGCCTAATGCAGGACTGCAGTAAAAATTAAAATTAAAATATGTACCTATTAATAAAATAAAAATAATATTTTTGTTTTAATTGTGAAAGTTTTGTAATTTTGGTGTTATCAAAAATAATAGGATTACATACATTTACACACACATTATAAAATCATATCTAATTTCTTAAGATATATATATTATTAATCTAAAGTATTTTGCCGACCTCGTTTGTTGGTTTAGCTAACGCCATATTTTCAGGGTTCGGTCCGTCGTTGCGCTAACCTGTCATCCATCCTGCGTTAATTCTGTGTTTTAAGTTTCGGTCTAATTCATCATGGCTTTGAAGAAGTAGACCTAGATATCGGAAATCGGAGCGCACTAAATTTTCATAAATACATATTTACAGGCAAACCGCGACAAGAATTTCTAAGGACGTTTTGCATACTTGTAAATATTGTAAAATTGGAAAAATAAAGCTTTTTATCTATTTGTTTTTAATTATCATTCTTTATTGCACCTTTAAAAAAATAGAATATACATAGTATGTAGGTACAAAAGGCGGTCTTATTGCTTAAGCGATCTCTTCCAGACAACCTTTAGGTACAGGAGAAAAGACAGATATAAAAAAGTCTAAAAAGTCTAAAGGCAGTAAAATTATTCATTTTTTTATAAAAAGGTTATTGTAAAGAAGAATTATATAAATATTTACGGCAAATTATAAATCTGATGTGAATTTTTTTAATGGTAGGTACAGCATATCATTTAAACGTGGCGAAACTTGTCTAAAGAACATTCTTAAAATACTTACTGGTTTCCAGGGCCGGTGTTTTCAATGTTGATTACACTTGGGGTAAGTGCTGAGATTATGAGTCCTACGGGGATGAATGCAGTCAATAAGTGAAGTAGATTCTTCCAAGGATTAACCCTGAAAATAAGTTAAGATGGCAATTTTGTATGTGACCATATTTTGTTTATTTATTCAATCTATAAATATTATCCATACCGTTACTTTATTGGAAACTGTCTAACCCAGGGTTAAGTAACCTTTTTCATCAACGGGCCAATTAAAATTTATATTTTTTTTGCGAGCCGTATATAAAGTAACACTTATTAATAATTTACATGTAAAACATAAACTTAGTTTTAATTTAAGATGGGAGAAAGTCTAAAAAATATTCAGTTTATGAAATGCTTCGAAGGCTGTTTTGTTGCTCATCCTGGTCTAACTTATTTAGATAAGACAAGGTTCAAATTGGAGTATAATGCATTTTTGAGTATGAACCTCATTTGGGCAGTGTTATTTGGTTTAGTAGTGAACATTAATGTTTGATAACTATAATATACCAGCATAAAACATTATCTCTACTATAGATTGAATGAAATGTAGGTATGCACGTAATATCTTAAGCGAGAGCTATAGCAATAATTATACCTCAATAAATTTTGTACATTAAAATGATTAATACTTTGTCCGATGGCTAGTGAAAGGATTTCCAAAGGAGGACAGCAATTACTGTATACATTTTTACTTACCAACCTCAACCGGAGTTCATTTTGTTTGATTTAAAAATTAAACATTTTTTTCCTTATTTTGATTTGGCAACAGGTTTTAAAATATACGGTCCGAATTAACGGCATTTCTTTTATTCATAATTTGTTTTACCATATATGTAGGTGATATTTATTATATATTCATTAGTACAAATAGGTCAAGACGAGAAAATTTCTAAGAGACATCTTCCATAAAGAATTACATTATTCAAAGAACACGTAACATGCAATTTTAATGTTCTAGATCGAAACTATCTCGAATTTCTGTTTCGTAGTAATTAATACATTACAAATAAAAAATATAATTTAATTATATTAATAGTGCGCCCTTAATTTAAATTATACCTCTTTAGTACAGTTATCGTAAGTACACGGTTTATACGTAGGATATATGTGAAGACCTTTGAGAATTTTTTTTTAGTGTAAACTTATACTTGCTTGTAGGGTTGGAATAAGTACTTTTACTCACCGTTTTTTTACGTCTATTGGATTCTCCTTCACATCTCCATTGAAATCTAAATTAAAATCTTCGCTGTCTCCATTTTCATTTGGTTTATTTTTAAATGCATCTGGGGACTTGTAAAGACCTCCGGCGGGTACTCTCATAGGAGATTCCACTGTTGGCGTTGATTCTAGATTCCCATCGTCAAAACTAGAGTCCGGTCTGCTTGGTTGCCAATTACTTTTAGTTTTCGTAAGAATACTATTCTCAATTTTATATGGAAATTCGTTCTGTTTGAATATGTTCTTTGGTATCTTATAAAGATTGGATTTAAATGGATCTCGGTGTGAACTGAAATATAGAAATATTGTAGTGTGTGTAAGTCTTGACCGTTTAGTAAGGTATTGAGAAAATCATATTATAGCATTAAAAGTAAAAACAAGGTAAAAACTATAAAATTCAACGGTCAATATTTTTTTGGAAAGCACCTTAATAAATAAATATGACCTTAATATTTTAATAAATTTAATCATAAGAAAAAGTAATATTTGTTAGATATTGCATAAGTATTATATTTTATTGTGTCTAGACTACAAAAGCTGTTAATCCTGTTTAGAATCACTCATAGATAGAAATGTATTTTTCTTGCATTTTCATTAATATTATGTACTACAATTTCGTATAAAACTTTTAGTACTAGATAAGCGGTAGTGAAGGTCAGTCTTTAACGTCTGCAGATAAATAACATTTATAAACATCGTAAAAATACAGAGATTATTTCGCATCAATTGATATTATAATATAATATGAGATAATAAGATTTATTTAAAATAAATATCGATATTATATTACAAATATTACAAACCTAAAAAAAGATGAAGCCGGCTTTCTTATAGGAACAAAGTTGTCTAATAATTTTTTTGGCGGTATAACCTCAGCGCTCGCTTCAAGAAATGTTTCCAATTGTTGACTTGGTTTAAATTCTTTGCTACTGTTAACATTGACATCATTTTGAATTAGCCTTTCTTTGGAGTCCACGGGGTCTGTAGCATTTTTATTATCAGTTTTAGTTAATTTAGATTCAGCGAAAGCAGTTTCTATTTTCCAAACTGTAGCTTCTGATTTAATAGTTTTGGTATTTGAGCTTAAGTCATTCTTAGTTGTATTCGTACTGTTACTGATAGGGTAGAGCGTTGTAATGTTGTGAAACGTTTGAGGGTCTGGCTGAGTATCTTCTGTACTTTCTATTACTCTGTGACAACTGTGTATGTTGATGATGAGTGACCAAGCCACTACGGAACACCATGTTATCTGAAAAAAATACAAGATTTTTTTCCAATAAAAAATGTTTATGTAATTGTAGTAGCAAAGCAACTAACGGCACGGCTGAGGTTATTATTATTAATTAATATTATAAACGCGAAATTTTGTGAGTATGGATGGATGTTTGTTACTTTTTCACGCGAAAATTACTGAACGAATTTTGATGAAATTTTACAGTAATATAGCTTATACATCAGAATAATATATAGGCTATAAATTACACGCGGGTGAAATCGCGGGCACAGCTAGTTAAATATAAAACATAATAATTAACATTTACTATTTATACATACATATAAATACACAATACATATAAGTACAAAGTTATTATAGTGTAGGTACTTATTTTTAATCGTTTTTTTTCTTACAAAAACATTGTTAAATTGTGCGAATAAATAATATATGCGTTTGTAAGTATAAGGACATGACGATGGCTATAAGTTGGCGGGCGGCGTGACGTATGAGCGGTCAGTGACTTACTGATGTCAGTTCCCGGTGAAAGTGAATGTCGACTGATTGCGTAACACTCGTCAGAGCCTCGTTGAGCTTGTGTCTACAGCCAATTAAGAGGCCAACTTACAGTTTAATAATATTATGTTTTTAACCATGGTATACTGCTCTTAACATGACTTTTTTTATACTACGTTGGTGGCAAACAAGCATACTGCCCATTTAATGGTAAACGGTTACCGTAGCCTATGGACTCCTGAAACACAAACGCACGGTCACGTGCGCGTTATATAACCTAATATATATTAAGATTTCTTAAGGGTCCTTAAGAAATCTTAATATACCCTTCTTGAAAAACCCTAAGTTGTAGTCCCTGGAGAAAACCTCAGTTCATTCCCCCAATGTAAGTGTACGCGGAAGGAGGCTCCTCTGAAATCGCATTGTATGAGACCACCTAGGTTTTAGCGTGTATTAGGATAAATTCCCTCTCGATGGCGAGCGGATGGTCGTACATGCTGAAGTATACAGGAAGTCTGTTAGGCTATTAACAATGGGGACTACTGACTCCATTGCTAATATTGTACCATGAAGGTCGACTTGTTCCTTGAAATCATCGTGGCTAATTTCAAAATGTGCTATGTAACTGACCCGAATTCTTCAATTGTGCCCCTTTGGAATTAGCGCAGGAGAGAGCAACATACCATTAAAATACATACATTAAAAATTATAGGTCGAAGTCTTGATTCGAGCGACCCCAGTCTACAGATATTAATAGTAGTGACGTAGTAAATGGAATTTGCGCATGGAATTTGCTCAAAGATCAGAATATATAGATAAACAATTAAGTTCTTGATATGATATGATATTGATATTGGCATGAAACTATCTGTTAACATTTATTAGATACTACGCAATTATCAATTGACAAGCCTCTTTATATTTATGAAAATTAATAATAATATTCCACAAATGTTTTTAGTTTCAATTGTTATCTTTGGGTGTACAATAATTAAATCCTTCTTTTACAACGGGGATTCGAAAACCACGGCAAATGGCTAGAATCCTGCAATCCTATATACTTTTTTCGGAAATTGTGATTAAAGTAGTTTATTATTATGACTAGCTGGCTAGCGGTTTACTTCCAATGGTCGCGAGTTCGATTCCTCGCACGGTACAAACATTTGTATTCCTGAGTATGATTGTTTGTTGATCTGGGATTTTTTTATGTAAGCTCTGCTTATATTAGGACTATATGGCGTTATGTTAATTGTCCAGGGATATTGTTATTAATATTATAAAGTGGCCCAGGCATCTATTTTAGTTTACTACAAAAACCGCATGAAAATAGGTTCAATAGTTTTTGAGTTTATAGCAAGAATACAGCAAGACGGACTGGGACTTTGTTTTATAATATGTATGTGAGTATGGATGTTTGTTACTCTTTCACGCAAATACTACTGGACGGATTTTGATGAAACTTTATAGTAATATAGTTTATGCATCAGAATAACACATAGGTATATTTTATAAAGAAATTTAACTCGGGTGAAACCGCAGGTACAGCTAGTAAGCCATAAAAACATGTTGAGATACATAACCAAAGATTTTACAGATTACTGTCGACTTCATGTGACTGATCGCCACAGTTACTTATAATATAAAAATACAAAAAGGCACCTATTAATTATTCACAGTAGTATTACAGCAAACAAAGTAAAAAAAGGTTTCGTTGCTTGACAGAGCCGTCTAGTCCCAAACTAAGCAGAGATTGTGTTAATTAAAATGCCATCAACAATTACATATTTAATTCGAAACATGTTTACAGTCGTCAGTATTTTCACTATGACAATGTACTGAGGTCCGACTGCTCAGAGTTTTCGTTTCTGACGATTCATCGACCAATCAACTGTTTATTTTTGTAGTAATTTGACCAAATAACCTTGAAACAGAGCAGTTTGATTTGGTTTAACTTTTAGAAACTATAATTTTTATATTTGTTAGATAATTTTAACCCAAAGTTAATTCGTTTATTGTAAATTGGAATAATGATTAAATTTTTTATTTTATCACTCGTTAATAAGGCAAATAAATGATATTTAAAATTTTGCCATAAATTGTAAGTCAGTTCAAAGTTACATTGCCCATTCGACTACTTGTCAGAAATGCAAATTTTGAGCGGTCGAACTGTAAAGTGTTTATTTCTCATGAATGCACCTAAGCGAATCATTTAAATTTATACTTTACTGTCTTTAAATGTATTTTATAACATTCAATTCACATGCAGTCTACAGAACAACATAACTTTTGATAGTCCAATAAGCCAATCGTCGTAAACTTTAATGTTAAATTTATTACATTCCCATTATTTTACTGGAGCCCGAACATTAGGTGGTTAGTATAAAGTGTTAACAAGTGCGCCGTGGGAATTTAAATAACTTCTTATATGCCTACTTATTATAAGTTATATGTATGTATATATACATATATGTATAATATTATACAGAGTATATATTGGAATTCTTTCAGAACTATTATAAAATAGAGAAATGTGTTGTAAAACGCCTATGTAAATAGTACATTGTACTCTAAAGGTAAACTTTCTGTAAAGTTGTCCGCGTGGTTATCTCTATCTCACCTCAGCTTAAAATGTAGTACCCTATCAGAGCCTAGTAATAATAGTTAGAAGGCTACCTATTAATAACTAATATACGATTTATTTATAGTTATATATATTTTAAAGGTTTCTACTTTCTATCAGATTGATTAGCCCTTAGATTATTAGCTTTCCAATTATATAAAAAAGGAAACTTACCATGTTGTTGGTTGACGTCTATGCTTCTCAAGACTACGCGGCCGCGTATTTGTCTAGTATTTATAACATCTCAAAAGTGTCGACGCAGCCATCAGGACGTGTCGCTATTGTTCTAGTGCAGTGAAAACTAGGGTTGTCAACTAAACTAACTAATTACATGGATTATATTCGTTATTGTTTTACATTAATTATTGACTAAATTCGAATTGTATTTTTATTAATTAGGTCAGGACTTGGGGCTACAACTATCACAGGGCTTAGATGCCATTTATTATAACCGTGTATAGTTGCTATTTACTATCATGTGGGTCTTCAGCTTGTTTGCCATTCTAATTAAAATACAAATATACATAATATTACATTTTTTTTTATTATTTCATTAATATGTATTATTACATGTATATGTCATTTCTAAGTGTTCACTTCAAATTACATTACGTTGCTCTTGGAGCCCGGTAAATAAATTGTTTTTGACAAGTATTTCAGCGCGACTCATAGAAGTTACTTGTGACCCGAGAGCTGGTAGCTACTTTACCCAGAGGCTAAGTATGGCCATTCAAAGAGGCAACGTTGCAAGTATCTTTGGTAGGATGTGCCGCGTTGGGTTTGTAACCCAATTGTTTATTGTTTTTTTGTGAATGTATACGTATGTAATTATTTATAGTTTCCTTATAAGTATTTACCGCAATACAAAAAAAAATTATGCATAATTACATTGAATTAAAAAAAGTATAAAATGAGAGTAGTCAACCCTACTCAAAGCGTCCATTTTCCGCTAGTGTAGTTTCACGCGTGCGCTATCCCGCCCGCGCATCATTGTTACGCAGGCGCGTCGCACTCGCTATGTAATATGTATTCTTTATTATAAATAAAATAATTATCAGTCACATGTCAGTAATTTTAACTTTGATACATCATACATTTTCAAAAATACTATTATTTTGTATTTGTTATAAATTGAATAAAAATTGGCTGGCTTATATGCATAAATAGCACCACAGAGTCTATGATACTATGGTATTCCCCATTAATATATATTCCAGAGAACTAAATTGTTGCACCTCATTACTCTCTTATTTTTCTCATTTACCTTTCATATTTATGTATCAAATACTATGTAGTCTTAAGATAATTTCGGAGGCCGTTTTTCTGATAATATTTAGAACCAATTATATTATGATGATGTAATATGGGACCCTGATACCTAAACTAGGTATTACATGCGTGCTATAGATATTAGTACTCTCTTGTAACATGTACCTACTGTATATTACATTAGTCAGTTGATGTAGATATGTAAGGGCAAGTGAAGACCTTAATTACTAAGGAAGAAAGAAGAATATGAATTAGTGAATGTATATGAGAAATTATGAGTGTTGTTTTAAATGATAAGTGCTAGGTGTGTGTACTGTAAAGGATTTGTGTATAATAGTGTGGGATATTTTGTGTTAGTGTAGAGAATGTATGACATGTGTGAATACCACTTGATAATATAATGTAATTTAAATAAAAATAAAAGTGTTTCAATGAAGGAATCATGTTTATTTTTTTACTCTTTTTATAATTTTAAATTCCATTCGTATAATAACTTTTATACTATGTGTTGGCGACAGACCTCTTTTTATAGATATTTCTATTTTTAAACCATATATTTTTATATACAATTTTTGACATATATTTTTTATTATATTGTTTTTCTACATTGTGTCATATACGCTACCACTAAATACATCACTATAATTTTGGTAAGTAATTTTATTTATATTACCCTATCTCACTGCCGTTGCCAGCCGCAATATTGGTCCTTCTACCGGTGTAATTACCAGCTAATATTAAATATTTTATATACAACAAAAATTTATATAATTTATTTCCGAATATTTCAACAAATGGTGTTGACAAGAGGTATGGCAGCGGCACAAAGCGCCCCAACGGATCTAGATATCCCTCCTTCAGAGGTATCCGCTAGCGCTTCACGTGTCATTAATCCCCACGGTTCACATCGCGGCTCCCATCATTCATCGACCTCACTCCGAGCTCAACGTCTTGTGGCAAAAGCACTACATGCACGTCGCTTAGCCGAGCTCGAGGCCGACCGAGACCGCGCCGCCGCTGAGCGAGAGCGTGCCGCCGCAGAGCGGGAGCGAGCCGCCGCCGAGCGGGACCGAGCCGCCGCCGATCGGGACCGTATGGTAGCTAACTTAGAATTAGAGGCTGAATTAGCGGCTATTGATGAAGCTGCCAGCTTGCACTCACAGTCGTTTAGAAGCTCTAGAGTAGAAAATTGGGTATCTCATACTAACGCATCTTTGTCTGAGAGACAGATTATGCCGTCCCAGCACACACCTGCGCCACAAGTGCCTGGTGTTTCCTGCCCAATGCTGGCCACAGACTGCGAGCGTGTGGTCTCGCCTGGCGTCTGTGTCACTGGCATCAGTGCCGGTGCCGCGGCGCGCGAGCACGCGCCCTATATCGCATCTGTCCAACCGTCATTGGAAGTACCGGAAGCATCATTACGATGCGGCCGCAAGCGCGCCGCCTCGCCAGGCGTTGCAAATATATTATTTGCGACGCGCGAGCACGCGCTTCCTTCTGCGCCCGCACCGTACGCAGTGGCAGCATCAAGTGCCCACGGCGTAACCTCCACCCAAAACTACAGCTACGGTGTGCCTCAGCCAGGCATTACTGCGACACTGGGAGCTACAAATGAAGCTGGCGCGTTTCAATCTAAGCCGCCCTCTCACGTTCATAATCCTTGTACACAGACACACACGTTAGGTACACAAAACGAATTTATTTGTA